CCCCATTAAACAAGTACAAGAAAATAATTTTTAAATTTCATTAAGCAGTGTTTCTTCGGGATTTGGTGCATGAATACGATCTGTGACTTAAACGTTTTTTTGTACCCTCAAAATACACACAACCTGCACAATTCTTTCTACAGCAACGCCAAATAGTTTGAGATTTATTGGCGTTGCGGTAACAAAAGCCATCAAGTACAAGTTGATCCTAGTTTTTTTAGGATTTTACAATAGACATTGTATAATAATAGAATAAAATAGAAGAGTAATGGAGAATATAGAAAAAAAAGGAAATATAATTTGAAAAAACTTATTCTTATAGGAAGATGTGACTTGTTTCTTTCATGACTAATCAATGAGGACTCAAATGTCGAGAGCTCAACTGTCGGTGTACCAAATTTCATATGTGAGCTGTCCATAACATGGACAGACGAAGATATATTCAAATTTAAAGATATTTCCAGTTGTATGAACTATGTTCACATATTCGAAATTGTAGCAGTACTTATTTTTCATCTCTCGTTATGCTCGGATAGAGTTCATTCAGTTACATAAGAAAAAGTATTTTTCAAATATAAAAGCAAAATAGACCTAAAATTCTGACTTTCGTACAAATTTTTATTTATATTTGAAAAGTCATTTTCCCTATGTTACTCGACGAGCTGTATCCAACCATGACGAAAAAAACATGAATAAAATAATTACTACTGAAATTTCTCATAACAGACATATTACATACACTGGAAATATCTGAAAATTTCAACACTTCAGTCTATGCTCGCTATGGGTAGATCATATGTTAAACTTGTTAGTATGGCGATGAGAGTAATAATTTGATTCGGACATAATCAAACTTCTTGTGTACCAGTACAAAAGATTTCATTGTAAGTTACAGATTGACTGGAAACAGAGAAATTTATATGTAATAAACATTCACAAAAAGAAAAGGATAAATCATCAACAATGATCGTGTTTTCTTATCTTACACTTCTCAATCTGAAGATAGCACATGTGGATTATGCTGAACAATTTGTGTTCGATAAAAAAAAAGAATCTTATTTACCTCGTTTACGAATGCTCAAAATAAAATAAGAGTCACTCGTAATAGTAACAAACAATTTTGTCAATGATGTAGTGTGTCTCCTTTGCGTCCAATTGAAAAGTCTATATGAATGAGCAACGTCTGTTTGGTGAGAAAACTTTCATCACGAGTTTCCTTTATTATAAACATAACTCTGTTGTAAAAAATTTGTCAAATCTAAAATCAAATGATTATAAACAAAGATTATGATTATTTCGGTATTACTTTTAGGTATTTATCTATGGTATGTTTAAATTTATCAAAAACTAAACTCTGTACAGTTTGTAGCTCGCTTTAAATTTATTCGCAATTTTAATATTTTCTTCTACTATTTGATTACATTGTTTATGATTAACATTTACTTCTTTTCCTTACAAAAACTTATTAAAATTATGCTAAATTTTTCTGATTATTGTGACAATAAAAATAAGATCATATTCAAACTAATTAGGTTTGCTATATATTTAATTACAACATACACAGAATGAATATAGAAACGAATAAAAAATGATTAGAATTTGCTGTCTATATATTGTTCTGTTCAATAATATTTTTTTATATAGCTCGATGTATTTAATTTCATTTAGACATTTTTGTGAAAGTTTTTTGTATTTTTCAAGTAAAACTATCTACTGTAATTTGTCGGATCATAAGAAATCAATACTATGTATGTTAATATAGATTAAGCGATGGTCAAGGACAATTGTACAAAGAATTAATATGTGAACAATAAGATTTAGATAATCATATTTCACTAAAATTATTAAATTTATTCAAGATAAACTTTTATCTTTATTGAATGAAAATCTTATTTTAAAACTTTTTGGTGAAAAAAAGGTTCATCTTGGAATGATAAAAATAAAATGTCAAAATTGGTTAATTCATATTTATATATAATAAGAAATGTCTTTACGTGATTTATCAACAATGAATGATTTAAGTAAAAACTCCAATGATCATGCATGAAAATTAGTTTTAAAACAAATTGAAGAAGAGTTTTCATCACAACAACAAGAATATGAGGATAAATAAGTGTGTGGGTCAATATAAGCGTGGGATGGTGCTGGTCATAATTTTGTTTCCATTTACACTCATCCACACTCTATAGAATAATATTAATTCAATTTTTCCTGACAAGGCGAATACGGCATGGTGTATATGCAGTGCTGACTGATCAAGAAAACCTCCATAGATATATCTTGCAGATTTCAATGATTTTAATTCCTATTGAGACTTTATGGAACTATTGAATATTTAATATATCTATTTGTTAGATGGGTCCCTTCACAAGACGGCGGTTTTTCGCAAAATCGTGTCTTTAAAATGCGTCTTGAAACTATCTGTATTTGAAGATTCCATATAGAGTAGCTTGTATGAAGCTTTTTAGAGTTTGTAACTTTCGTATCTCCAAGTTCTAAAATTTTCAAAAATAGACGCTTTCCGAAGCTTAGTAAATAACAAAAAAATATTTTGAAAAGTTTATATCTGGAAGATACAAAGTTTACAGACGTTTTCGAAAACCTCGGGTCTTGTGCACGGATTCTCTGACTAGTAGATATATTAAATATTCAATAGCTCAGTTCAGTCTCAATGAACACTCAAATACTTTTAGGGTTTTCATTAGAATATTATCTAGTATGTATAGGCAAAAAGTTGATGTAGTAGAAATGGTCCATGATGTAAACGAATTTGTTTCGGTAATCGTTCTTCATTAATATTATTTCCCGTTGGGAATTGTCGTCCTTCAACTCTACAGTGTTATCAAAATTTGAAATTACTTAACAAATGTTGATCAATTAATTACATTGTACGACTTATTGTTATTTGTTATAAAAGATAACAAAATAATTCAATATTTGAAGTTACATTTTCATTTGCAGCTTGGAACACGTAGATGATATAGAAAAGTGCCATATTTGAATTAATTGGAAGCATAGAACTTAATGATTGAAATGTAGATAATTTGAAATCTGATAATCCAAATTATGGTTCAGAAATAGTTATTACTGTTGATGATGATGGTTGAGATAATTGAATAACAGAAGATATAGATGAAACTTGAGAATCAGAATTTAATAATTGTTTTTCAATTTTATCAAAATAATCTTTATTAATTAATATATGATGAACTAGAAGTTCCTGAAAAAAAAATCAAGTTTAGCAAAATTTTCTTTTGATTGATCTTTCTTAGTAAATATAGAATAAAGAGTTTTGTTAAAAAGCTTATCAGCGCAGCCCTGTTAGAGTTAAAAAGTGGACATTTCCGTATTTCATTTTCCTCAATTTGATATTATTATTGTTCTAACCATTGATTTAACTGACAAATAAGCCTGTTGTACATATTTAGTATATATACAGTAGATTTCAACACACTTATACATATGTATATCACGATAAAATTGGAAACACATTAATGTTGGTTTTTTTTCCAAAGTTATAACTTGATCGTTTGAAGACAATGACAAATCAATGCATGGCTATCCATGATTTTTGATGTCTTAAATGCGCCTGTTGTTCATGGTTGCTATGAACGATGAGAGGAAACCATAAAAATTCAACTCAAAACTTACATTCATTAGGGTGTGGGTTGGTGGGTATAGGTGTGGGGTGTTCGTGTAGGTTGTGTGTCTCTTCCGATAGAAAGAAACTCACACCCACGCCCACACGCCACCCGCATCCACACCCACATCCCACCCACACCCTATGAACAGCCAAAATATATCATAAGATGCAGCGTGAAAAGCTCTACAATTTATATAAGACCACTTCTTTTATAGCTGCACTTTTTGTTTCAAAATAGACAAAGTTTTGAGGAAACAAATTTTGGGCATTGCAAAAATTGTTTGCATAGAATTTCCATTTTTCTGAAAACAATTACAACAAGCATTACTGTGTAGATTGTAGAGCTTTTCACGCTGCATCTTGTGGCATATTTAGTTTTTCCTTTGATCAAGCATATCAGATGATGAAACAATGAAATAATAAAGAATGAATTCGTTGTATCGAAAACATTATCTTTTTCCCATGGTCGAAATTTGATTGCTCAAAATTTTGTCGATTGTTAAAATAAAAAGTGCAGCGTGAAAAGCTCTACAATCTACACAGTAATGC